CAGTGCAACCACCTGGAGAAGAGGAGAAGAGGAGAGGAACATTAAAAATGCACATGACAAACAAATACAAACAGTAACAACACATCATTCTCCTCATCCTCCTAGCTCCAGCACGCTCCAGCCACAGGTGAACTCACCCCTGGCTGACCTGGCCCCAGTCTCGACCTTGCTCCAGCATTGCAGCCACTCTTCTCCTGGACCGAACATGGCCATAGCATGGCCATAGCATGGCCATAGCATGGCCATAGCGTGGCCATAGCATGGCCATAGCTACATGCCGCAAAAAAATAAGATCAACTCTGGTCAAACACTGCGATTTTGTGAATATGATTGAATATGTAAGTATGTATACATAATTATACATATAATATAATATATACCATTGACGCCAGTGAGGGTTGTTGAGGGCTATAAACTCAGATGGATCAGGGGCCATCTGTTTTGACAGAGGAAAGCAATGGTTGCGGTCCAACCCCAACCGCTGGACACTTCTTGGATCTTCCTGGTCTGGCCTGGGATCTTTGGTATTTCGAGCCTTTTCTCGATTGCGGCGTGCTTCCTGCTCCTTCTTCTTTCGCTCCTGCGCTTCAATGACAGGCCCTTGCTGCATGGCTTCCTGCTAAACGGGATGCTCCTCAGCACGCTTCTGCATTTCCTCTTCCGAACCGCCAGCTTCCTAGTCATGTCCATGGGAAGATCAACCCTATCGGCCTATCGGCCCATCACCAGGGTCATCCTCTCAGAATACTTTGAACTGCTGAAAACTCACCAGTTTCGGATCAGTTTCCTCTAAAAGCAATACGGGACTTCCCACTTCTACGCCACAACTAGTTCTCAGACTCAGAGTGCATCTGCTTGGGCAAGTAGGGTGAACATAACATACATAACATAAGACATAAGAATACAAACATTACTTGGCCACTACCTGTAGTTCCAACCCTTCAGATTGAGGAGGTACACTATCGAGCCTCTTACAGCACGAACCCATCAGAAAACATCTCCGGGGCGTTTCTGGCCTCCTCGTCTCTGTCTCCGATGTTAAAACTCATTTTGAGCTCCTGAGCAATGCATTTTTGGATGGCAGTTACAGTAGCTGTGCTGTGTTTCATTTTGATCAAACCCGCGCTATATCACACACCCCAGCAGCTACCAGCCTTGCCAAATCTCTGCTGGGCGTTGGCTGAGTACATCGACTGGTTCAGTAGTAACCATGCAAACGAAAGAAACTGACCTGGCCTGAATAAGCTTGAAATTCACAATTGGCACAATAGGATACAATAGGGACAAGCGCCAAACTCAGGACTCCTGCAAGACAGATTCCACATTCTCGAAGGACTTTTTGGTGTCTTCTGGACTCAAAATGTCCTTCAGGAGTCGCCCAGCAAACGGATGGGTCCATTGGTGAGTCATGACATGGGTGACATGCATCTGATTTCTCCCGTCTTTGGTTTGTCAAAGTATACAGCACCCTCAAAGCCTACACACTTTGAGTCCAACATACCCTGAACCCTGAAACATCAAACCTTCAGTCCTTAAGTTCAGGCGCTATGATTGACTGGCGCCTCGTGTCCTGCTCAACCGTTTCATATCTGAGACGCACAGTAGGATTGGCATGGGACATTTGGCAGTTTCTACGATAATTGGCTATGATTGGCTATGATGGCTTTTAGTGTGCTGATAATTGATAACTGCTTGTGGTGATGATCATCTGATATGGTGTCTAAATCATTGTATATACATCTTGATATCTTTTATGAATGGCAAGGCCTTCTTCGGGGAGATTTGCAGATCGCCATATTCCTCGTCGGCCTGGGTCCAGGCTCATGGGGGAGCATATGTTCAATGATGGAGCCAACTATGAATAGTATGTATATATATATATGTATATATATATGTATATATATATATATGTATATATATATAGCATATACATATATAATTATATAGATTATTCTATATATATATATTTGTAATGGTTCATTCTAATATGAAGGGATCACGTGGTAAACCCAAGAATATGATGGGACTTAATCTTTTTTTTTGGAAAAGAACAAATTGTGAAAGGAATGAAGTGCTTCGGGAAGGTCTAGAACCTTTCAGTCACCGGAACGCTCACATAAAGGATTTCCCACCTTCAACTACATACTACTCGGTCAGGATCCTGCTTTGTGTCTAGAGTCTAGAGTGGCTTGGCGCTTTGGCGTCTTGAAATATCATTTCTTTGATCCCTTCTTGAATTGCACGTTGCAAGAAATTGAATTACAGCTGGGCATTGCGTTCTTTCCTCCGACTTCCGCGATTTATCATTATCTGCATCAACGCAATCCTTTTCATTCACATCCTCATCTTTTGCACCAGTTTCTGGTCATTCTGGATATTCTTGTCTGGCACACGCTTTCTTGTGACCGAAACATTTTTCTGGCAGGTTTAGGTAAGACATGACATGTTCAAATATGTTCAATAGCCTTCCTTCTGGGCATTTCAGGTTGGCAGGCACTGATACAGTTTTTGGACGCTTGTGGCATCATCCATTCCCAGCTGATGTATGCTGATGTACCACTTTGTGACTCAGTGACCTCTCTTTTGGCAGTCTGAAGCACTTTAGAATGAGATGTTAAAATCGGTTTTTGATCTTTTAATCATGCTGAAATCCCCATCATTTTTGGTCAAAAATCATGGTGAAATCGTGGCACTTTCCGAATCACTTGACCCACGCCCACCTCCATTTCTTCCACCCTGCGGTTCACCGTGCTGGTGGATGGAGCCAAACCATCCACCAACTTCCCGCGTGAGGCTGGCCGGGACGCCTCACGTGGCTGGGGGAAGATGGGGAAACACCTGAGAAAAGATTGGAGAAGACAGACATGTTGAATAATTTGGTTATGATTTTTAGGTGTAATATGTATATATATATATGATATGCATTGATATGCATGTATGCATGCATACATAGAACATCTTATACTGTATACTGTACACATATTATTGAAACATATTGAAACTTTGGCATGCACGATGTTTATCCATCTTCATCCATTTCTGACATATGTGATATTCTTTGATGCCCAAAGATTCCACTGACCTCCTGAGGCCCAGGCACTGGCAGAGCTGAAGCCCGTTCGATCCAGGTCATACAAGGGCCAAGCTTCCAGTGATGGTGGATGCTGCCTCGTACCCAGGCCGGCTGCTCGAACTTTACGGAGCTTGGCGGCCTCAGTGTCATGGTAGTGATGAGTGGTCGTGGTGGCCGTGACAACTTGTAGCAATCAACATCATCATCACTATCATAAGTATTACTATCTTGTTAGAATCTTTGTAGACCGTATTAGATCATATACTCCTATCACTACTATCACTATCATTATCACATATAATATTATATATATATCATATTATATCATATCAGATCATAAAGAAACATACTATGTCAACATTATATCATGCTACGTCATATGATCAATTATCACTACAAATTCTTACAGTATGAGATCTTTGTTGACTCTTTATGTCCACAGCCATGGCAACCGACAACAATCGAGGCCCCAACCGACGAAGGCCGGCTACAAGGCCGACTCAACAACCTGAGGGCGGCTTCGTCAACCGCGAAGCAGGGATAAAACATGATAAACCACTAAGAAACAACAGTTGTACAACATTGCACATATACGTAGTATATAAATGTAATATAATATATGATGGGATATGTAACACACACACATATATATATATAATATGTAGCCAATAGTATTCATATCTAATATATAAAACAATAGCCAATAAAATGGATATACAACCCCAACGTGGTGGGATGCAACCTTTGCAGCCTTTGCAGAATCTGTACTTTGGTATGTCAAGAACTAAGGTAAAGTTTGGACAATATCAAAGTATGCCATGAAACCACAAGGTGGTGCCAGGTTTCTCTGCTTTCTTCATACTCCAGGCTGATACAGGCAAACATGCTCCAAACCACCGAAGCATCTCATCATGGATTGACACAATTCGTGAAAAAGCCATTTCATTCTGGACGCTTAAACAGGTTTCCAGGTTCCCGGAGAGCTTTAATTCCTTCATCCAAGGAACTCTTTGGCAGATCTGGAGCCCCATCTCGGTTCAGTGCAGAAGTCTTGACTTTTTTTTCAGGGGATTTTTCAACCCCACAAAGGAATCTTTTGACATCTTGCAGCAATTGGGATGCAACACCAGTTGGGATATCATTTTGCTTTGGAAAATCATAGTTGAGATATGTTGAGATGCTGTTTTCATATATTTCCACTGACAGGAGAGACATCAAAATACATCAAAGATCATCAAAGGTCTCTCGTATTTCTCAATCCGTTGGGGCCGCGACGTTGACGGAACCGAAGGGGACTTGTGCAAGGTGCTCGCCTGAACGAGGCACAAGTGGTTGCGTAGCAGTGTGGAAGCTGTTGCTGAGCCCTGAGCCGAGCCCGGCCGATGCATGGACTGGAACGCCATTGGAGTTTGGAACGGACTGGACTGCACCAACAGAACTGTCACAGAAATGATGATGGAATCCACTGGACATGTTCAAGTTGTCTGGTGACTTGGCTGTAAAATCTACGAAGATAGCCATGGTGACAATGTCATGGTTGGGCTCTGATATGTCCAAGTTGTGGGTAAATCGCGAACAGCTGTGTGATTCCTGGCTGATGTGGCCAATCAGTCTACCCAGCAAATTGGAAAGCCAAATTCAGCAGGAGAAGCCCCTACAGTTCCAACATCTCTTCCATGACACCAGACTATACTCTGGATAGTTTTCGGACTTCCTTCGCATTGGTACTTCAAAAAGAGTCAAATCCAACCCACACATGACCCCTTCACCTACACAAGTTGGTCAAGCTACGTCAAGCTGAGTATTCAACCTCAAACTGTTAGCATCTGTTATCCGTTTTGGATTTTTTGGATTTTTTCATGAGGTACTCCAAATTTGACCCACACGCTTCGCAAGCAGACTGTCTCATGTCCAAGGGCACCGCTTGTGTTTTTTCATCTCGTCGATGAAATCGCGTCAAGCTAGGCAGCTGAGGCAGCTGAGGCAGCTCAGCGCTTGCAAAGGAATTCCCGAGCTCGATGTAAGGCGGATGGGAGGTAGAGTCCCAAACTCACTGCTGTATCTGCTGTGATTTCTTCATTTTCTTCATGATCTTTTGGAAAACACTGCCAAGTTGCCTTCAGCATCCCAGCTGTCACCTGGCTCCCCATCTTCACCTGCTTGGGTTCGCTGTGACTCTCAGCCTTGGCAGCTAGGAGGTCTTGAAGGGTTTCCTCCTCATCCAAGGCATCATGGTGAAGATCATGGTCATCTGAAAGCTCAATGAGATCATCTTCCACTTCCACCACACCTGTCCGATCTGCAGAAGGCAAATCAGCCTCAACGATGATGCTGGAAGGACTTTGGTCCGGTGGGTTCTTCAAATTCTCACTGGCTGGATCTGCTTTTTGGAACCGGCCGGAGTTATTTGAGGACTTTGAGGCTCTGAAACCGCCACTTTTGGGCCTTCTGAACACACTAACCTTCTTATCCTTCTTTGATTTGTCTTTCACTGCTTTCATTTTCTTGGCTCTCCCGTACTTCTTTGGGGGCTCTGCAATGCGACCAGAACATCTATGCGCGCCACAATGACAAGGATCCGAAGATCCAAATCCGCTGCCCCGGGAGCCTCGACCGTTGGAGTAACTGAAAGTGAGCTCCTCCCGTGGGAGGATGTCCCGGCTGGCAAAAATCCCCACATGCCACCGTCCTTGCAGGGCTGAAAAAGTGGATGTGCAATGCACAAAGAAAAGGGAGGTAAGTCAAGTGAAAACCATCACCTCAGTGTCTCAATATGCTTTGACTATAAAAATTGCCGAGCTGCGAACAGAGGTCATTGGAACTTAAACTCTCCTTCATCCTAATGTATGCCCCGCATGATCAGCTCAAGCCCAAGTTCTTTTGAAGATCAAACATACACACCCTGCCTTCCACCAACCAGCGCTGTGCATTACAGTTGGGCTCGCATGAGTGGTTGATAAAGCGAGCCGGTCCCCCTGCCACTGAAGCATCAATGGCAAATCCCTGCGGTAATGACATGATATATCGCCAGTTGTGGATTGAAGATTGCGACACAATCTCGCCCAAATATTCGGCCACCAATTGATTTTTCCTCAGCCCTGTGGCGGCACGCAGGCCGAAGCCCTTGCGCTGCCCCGTCCAAAAAACTTCAGTGAGGTCATCCAGGCGACTAGCTTCGGAATCCGCAAAGGGGCGGTTTCCACAGTTAGGAAAGCCACAGTTACTGGGTCCACATTCCATCAACATCAACGCATTCAAACAACTTCCGGAATCACAAGACTCTGTACAACTACATCTTCCCAAACCTCTCGATTCTGGTGCGATGGGAAGTCGATGTCGACCGCGATTGCTCCAAAGTCGCTGGTAAGACGGAGTCGAATTGGCCTGACCTGAAGCCTCTGATACTGATTCAGCAGAAGAAACATGCTGCGAAGATCTCTTGCAGCCCCTCTCAGCTTTGGACACGGGGTGTCCAAAGGGTCGGCATGCCAGCCCAAGTGGGAGCCCGCTTAGTGGGTGCATTCACAGGAGGCAGGCCTGGGCTTCGGGCCGCTGAAAAATGGCAGCATGCAGCAGCAAATGTCATGCCTTGCGAAGGCAAAACAGCGTGGTCAATCATGGTCATGTCCGCTGTAGTCTGTTTTGGATGAACCCACTTACAGGAACCCGAGCCGGGCTCCAGTGCCATGTTAACAGTGAATATCAGTAGATGCAGCTGCAGCATGCTGCAGCTTCAATCAGTTATTTCATCTTGCTCTAAACAAGACATACACTGCTTCCACTCTCTCCTCTCGCCAACTCCTTTCTTTTCCACGCTATGATGCGGAGGCCACCTGGCAGCATGGCCACACTTTGGGGATCATCTCCAACAACCTATCCATTTAGGTGATGTGAAAAGAAAACTCTTGTGGATATAGTGCATCTACGAAGCACTCCGGTGAACAAACATCTTTGCCATTCTTTGCCTCTGTGTAGTGAGCAATCAATGTCTCCAGCTCCGAGCTGCTTCTTTCAATCTCATCAATGTTTAGCTCCATGCCTGAGATGATGCCATCCAAAAAGCTGGGTGTTGACATCAAAAGCCTCTCTTGGAAACTCCAGAGATTTCCACGTTTCATCAAGTTTCATCACACCAAGTATCTGAGTCTAACCACAAGGTCTTCGACCCGTGAATCGGTGAATCATCTGGATGGTACTTCTTTGGGAATCTTGGAGCACTAAGCCTTCGACCAACCAGTGTGGCTCGAACCTTGCCCATGCCACACAACGATGCCAGTTGATACTTGGGCAAAAATAGCAAGCAACGATAAGTTCAATTCAAATATTTCACACATTGTATCATATCGTTGCAAAACACTACACACACCCAGCACGTCGGTTTGTTTTGGTTGAGGCCTATCTGCTGTTTCTGGATTGAACTAGGGGAGCTTCAAAAAACATGCATGTTCTCAGGTAAATTTATCAATTTGAGCTCACAGAAGAGGGATATTGGCATTATCTTGGGTGTATAGTTCCGGGAAACAATGCAACTTGCACTGCTGGGTGTTTGTCAAACCATTCTTTACTCTACAGCCCATTTGCTGGTCGTCAAACAGCCTACCGAGGATGAACTTGGATGGCTGTTCAAGGTTGAGTGGGCCCATAAATTTGGCAGGCACATAGAAACTGTGGCAGGGTTGGCTGAAACATGTTTGGACAGCCATTTGACACTGCTAGGGCTGGGACCCACCAGCCTGTGGTCCAGCCTTGAAATGCTGTTTCTTCCACAAGGAAATCCAACATGGAAGCCGCAAAATCTAATCCTGGAACACCGTTGGTGGCGCAGGTTTGAAAGTAGTTGTTCCGTCCCAAAACACCCGTTGGTGTTCCTGGGCTTTGGTTGTCCCATGACTGAGATGGGTGCCCTCGTCAGGGAGAAGCTCGCTGGCGCGCAGAAATCTTTGTTCAGCCCTTGGAACAAGGGCTGCCATGGTCAGTTCAAATGTGGCTGGGGGTTGATACTAAATCATGAAACTGCCGAGAAACAGGATCAAACACCTTGGGAGGAGGAGGAGGAGGATGCTGCTGGTGGTGGTGGTGGTGACCTTGTGCGTTCCCACCTGCTTTGATCCATCCTTGGCAGCAAGTGCCTCTGAGCTCCCAGGCAAGGACTGGTTGGTCCTCTCATGCCTGCTCTCCTTGGAAGCAAGGAACCAAACCATCTTGGGGATTGCAGTCAGTAAAGACAAAGTTCAACTTTGAAAGTCAAAGTTGCGGAAATCAAACAACATATGACATATGCCATATGCCTTCACTTGAGATTTTGAGAATATCTGAGACACCTTGAGAAATCGCTCAGCACGTTCCAGAAACCCCTATCCTGCATGAAGTTGAACAACACCTTGGCCTGGAATGCTGCCCGGCCCACCAGGAAGCGGAGCAACCAGCCTACCATGGTCACAGTGTCCAAGATACATACTCGAGTGCAGCAGCAACGCTAAGGCCGCAGCATTTGGCTTCTTCCACCTGCAGCGGAACCCATATGCCATGCTGCGAATGCTTGGAGCTCCATCTTTAGTTTCTTATCACTTGAAGTTGGAGCTCAAACCTCTTGGCAAGACTGCAATGGAAACAGCGGCCTGACGCGCTTTCCACTTTGAGAGGGATAAAAGCTTCAGTGCTTCTCGTTCTTGTTGCTCGACCTCAATCGCGCCAAGCCACGCGTACCAGTGTACACCCCCAATGAAGGACAGGGACCTCCATCCACCCACTGAAACCACATAATTCCTCCATATTCCTCCTATCGAGCATGAATGTGTGCATGTCTTTTGGATCCATCTTTCTTCTTGGTTGGAACAAGCATCCCCTTTGATCCTCCAACTTCAGACATCCAAGATATCCAAGGCTTTGACCACGGCTGCATCTGTCGCGCCTCCACCAAAGACATTGAGGGATCACCAAATTTCCACACACCCAGAAATATCACACAATATCACACATATTCAAAATTTGGCTTGAGTGAAAACCATGCTCTCCGCATCTCTCCGCTGCTTTTTGTCAAATCCGTGGACAGTCTGACCTCGTGCACGTTGCAGCTCTTTCCCCAGTGCCATCTCAAGGCGCTCCGGGTTGCCCACGGCATCCTGGCGGGAAAACCATGAGGGAAAGGATGGGATTCCGATGGATTCCGTAGCCTCTTGGCTTTCCAACCCCCACCATTGGACCATGAAGGTGAACTGACCATCTTATGATTTTATTTTATATTATGTGTACATATCTTTACAATTCTTTACATATCTTTACCAGTTTATTCTCGACTCACCTTCTTTTCAACTGCTCCAATGTGTTCCCCAACTCCCAGCCTTCAGTTCATCCAACACAGATCCAGCTTCTGGAGCTTCCTGCAGCTTCTGCAGCAGCTGCGGGGCATATTTTTCGCTATCGCCACAGGCCATGGCTTGTAGCCGCCTCAGAGGCGGCAGAATCGGCTGCAGCGCCCGGCCAGCCATCTGCGAAAGCTGAGGGATGGAGAGATCGGCTCCTTGAACAAAACAAAGGGATGGTGACTGATGGTGATCGAATCTAGATCTAAGATGATCTAAGGGATGATGATCCAAACCTAGAGAGATTTCCGAAGAATCGACAAGAAGGGCTTTGGTCAGGAATATGGGCTTAGGATGACTTGGGATTAGGGGATCCGGGATCATGGGGTATCCTATTCATTTTTCCACATTTTAACAGCATTCCCATGTATTCCCCATCTTTGGACCACAAAGCTGCAAAGTGTGGATCGCTCCTTGTAGGGCATCTTGTACCCCATGGCCTCGCTTGGCATCCATGGCTCCAAGATAGGCTCCATCTCCAGCAAAGAACTGAGCATGAAAATAGTGAGCTTCCAACGCTGCCGCGATGGCGGCTGAGCATTCAACAGCTGCTCCTGAGAACAATTGCCTCAGATTGGAATCTGAACTTATCTTGCTTGACTAAATGCAATGGACCCTTCCTGGGAACGAGATGCTGCTACTGACAGCAGGATAGCATGCAAGTACCCTTGACAACGGAAGAATCGCTGTATGAACGCAGAAAAAAACTACAATCCCCAAAACAAGATTTTTCCCGCATAGAAAGCATTTCATCCAGACAATCTCGAAACATCTCGAAACAATATCTGTTTCAAGACACCTGCCAATATCTTCTTTTCATCCAAGTTGCAAATTCAAGTCACCCGCCATCCGATGTCCATGACTCACGGCGTAGGCCATGGAGTTCCTCGATGGCATCTTCTCATCTTCCTGCAATCCGCAGCCAGGACAGATCTCGAGCGAAAGGCAGGCGTTGAAGAGATCTTCTTTTTGAAGCACCTGGACCCGCAAGAGTGAACAAATGGGGCGCAGCGGGTGGGTAGAACCCCAAAGTTGCAAGTGGATACCCAGAGTGAATCCACAAGCCAATGGATAAATTTGATATCTTGCTAAGGACAAATCTGTGAGCCTGGGGGAGTTTTTACAAGCACCCAGATTGAGAAACCACATTGATCGTTACATCAGAATTATATCAGCATCGTCCTGCAGGAGTGACCTTGGGAGTGGGGGAAACCATGAGAGTCTAAACATGTCCCAACATGTTTTGGGCAGCGTTTTGGACAGAGTCACTTTGACAACACAACACAGAAAACGTCATGCCAACCTGGACCCTGATGTCCGATCCGATGTCGAGGCGTTGCTTGCGAACAGCCTTCGATCGAGCTGCCAACAAATGGGCATCCAGTGTCCGAATGTCGCTGGCTGGGATGCTCAAGATCTTGGGTATGCTGATGCACAGCTGTGGAAACACTTTGCACAGAAACTGCTGCATCCGCCTTTGGCGATCAAAGTCGTTGTGTGTCAAACCACTGGCGTCTTTCTTGAAGTGCAGAATGTAAGCATCTGGCTTGGCTCTGCACAAAAGATTGCTGCCTCCTTCACACAAATACTCCAAATCTCGTGAAAATAGACGAGCTTTGATGGCTGGCTCTTCTTTGGAGCGTCTGGCATAGAGCAATGCGCTCAAACCACTCAGGCTCAAAATGCTGATGGCAAGGACAGGCCACACATCAGCCTCCGTTGGAGGGATCAAAGAAAGATAAAGAAAGTGTACTGACATGTGCGCTTGCATGTTTGCATACCAGATCATACAAATACAAACACACAAAGTCTATGTCGGGTCCCCGCCAAATGGAACAAAGGATTCTATACTGTAGATTTTTGATTCGATGGTGAAAATATGTGAAAATAACAGAATATGGTGGAACATGGTGGAACACTGACAACTCCGATCTCATCTAATTTCTCCACTTCTTCTCGTCGCCTCCAAAGTCTTGAGAATCTGCTTCTGTCCTTCACTGCCAGGGAGGGGCAGCTTTCGAGTAGGCCAGAAAGCATGGCGCAGGGACAGCACGCGACGCATGGCCTATTTCTTGGCTCCCTCAGTGCAAGGCAACTGAGGCTTGTTCCGTTTTGCTTCAGTTCAGCTCTAGCCTGCAAGATTGTGGCCCACGCCTGCATGGAATTGTTACAAGTCTCTGTGATGGCTACGTACTGCAGGATAGGCAGATTCAAGAAAAAAATACAACACCTTTCGAGTTCCGATTTCTTTGCAAACGCAGTGTCGTACGATTTTGCTTTGCTGGAAATTCGGCTCTTGAGCTTCGTGGCTCTTGACATCGAGAATTGAATTCCCAAGCTTGGATCACACCAAGGACAGCTGTTGCTGCCCGATGCTTGGCGTTTTGGCAGCAAAATGCAACAAGCAGTACTGTAACAAGCAACTTTTCAAGCAACTTTTCTTCACTGTCAAGACATGTCAAGACTGTCATTGTTTGATCTAGGAGAGTGAACTTTGCACTGGCTCCATCGACTCCTTTGGCCCTCACTCGACGGCAGGGCCTGCTGTCCCAGATGTCCCAACTGTGGCGGTTTCGACTTCATCTGCATTGCCTCAGAGCTTGGTGGTTCAACCCAGGGAAATCATCTTCCATTGATCACACTATTTGGGATGGAGAGCGTTATATAAATATTATCGAAACCACCAATCAAATGAACATGGCCTTTATATCCTTTATATTCCTTTATTCACTGCATGTTGTAGTGAGCTATTTGAGAACAGCACCGCTTTCGGCAGGCGGCTTCTGTTTGCGCTTGAAACGCATCATGTTCCTCAGTGCCGTGAGCAGTGGAAGACATATCTGCGGCCAGAGGAGAAGTACACCATTTGCTGCTGAAGAATCAGCATGAACCAACTGTTTGGGTTTAACATGGTTAAGAAACACATCATTCCATCAAATCCATCATTCACTTGGTACACCAGTGTAACTGAAGTTTTTGGTGCTCCCAAATGCGTGCCAGCTATAGATGCTACAGGTCATTATCTACTTGACTTGGCTTGGAAAACTCACCGGCTTTTGGTCATCAGACACGGCAATTCACAGCACCATGCTTCGGTGTGATCAGGTGATGGATGGCTGCCCCAAACCAATGGTCATTTGCAGATGATCTTCTTGGGCCATGTCCATCTTTTGACGGGTGAGGACCCCCATCTTTCATCTTTGTTAGATACTTCCTTACTTATCTTACTTGGTTAATCCACATTCTGGTGATTCTTAATTGTTACCCCTATTTTTCTTGGTTTCTCGAACCCAAACTTTTTGGTTGGCTGAAAATAGGATCTCTTCAAATTTGATGGAGTTAATCATGGTTTTTCACCATTTACCCCTCCAATTCAGCAACTCTTGTTGCTGCCCCTGGCCCGAAGATGTCGAAGACAAGATTCCCCCCGAGGCTTACAAGCACTGCGAAGGGCAACATCAGGCGTGTGGCGCGGCAGTACCTGATACAACAAAAAGGTGACACCGGGCTGTTGGGAATGGATGCGTTGACTGGCGTTCACGGCCAGAAATTTCTGGTTTGACCAGCAAACATAGGGATTTGACATGATTTTGATTTAAGTGTGAAACATGGGGTTGGAGCCACCATTTTTGGATTCAACCATATTCAACGTACAGCAATGGTAGTTTAAGACAGCTGATATAACTGTCAACAAACATGAGGAATTGACCGTCAATAGTGGGTCTGAAATTTTGATTAGACAAGGTCCCTTGATCACAAGGAAAATCAGGAACGGACACAGGGTGGTCACCTGGTTCCTTTCGGTGATGATATTCAACATCTGCAACCACCCTCGCTTGCAGTGATCGAGGCGACTTCTGAGATCGCCTTCTGAATTCTCCCCAGTTGGACTTGGGTTCTATACGTGACACATATATACTGAGAAATAATGATAATAGAAGCTGTTGCATGTATACTCTGTATAGTCTATACACATCTATACACTAATAAGTGACATAATGGTTCTATAAATAATGATGATAATGATGATAATTTACAATGATAATGATGATAATCTTATGTCAACACAGGAGCTTTTGCGCCTTGGGGCCGTTGTGAAGGCTCTATGATAATCCCAGCCTGCAGGTGCTGCCATCTGCCTCGCAGGAGACACCTGGGAGAGGGATGACGAGGAATGAGCAAAGCTGCCCTTATCGTTTTGGTCATTTTTTCCCAAGACGTACAGTAACTTGGTTGGCACGCAAGACTATAGCTGCTGATCTCTAAAAACCATCATAAAGCCACCCTAAGTTGTTTTGGTTGTCAAGATCATTAGATGCTCAAACGACCGAACCAAAGTCAACAAAAACACCAGAGCCAGGTCAAATGTGACGTTGTGTGGGAAGCCGAAGCAAAAGGAGCTAACATACATTGATGTTCAGAAAGGAACTTATACTGTAAGTAGATCCCCTGTTGCACAAAAAACACTCCAAGCAACGTCTTTGATTCATCTCACGCACCATTTTCTGCCAAGCCTGTTCCTGATTTGCCAGACTTAAAACCGCTGAATTCAAAGGTATTCATTGGAGGCTATTGTTGTAGCAAACACCTTCTGCCACCAAGTGCTTGAATTATTTGGAGTACTGCTTGTCCACTAGAACGCCCAAGCATCTTTATACATCTTTATTAGAATTACGCCAAGCCGCAATCAAATACGATAGAGAAGAGAACGATCAAAATCGTGTCAGTACCTGTGGCCAAAGGATCCATTGAAACGGATTGCCCAGGAACACAGTGCAGCTGGATGCAGCTGGCAAACATAACAAACCCCACAAAATTGAGCTGAATGAACTATATGAAATTCCATTCATGTTATCCCCGAGTTCAAAGTTGTCATTTGTTTCGTCTGGACTGGTGGGATGGCCACCAGTCAAAAGAAAAGACATGTCGGACACACTGTGTCTGACAGTTGCTTCGTTGCATAGTTGTTGTTAAAACCTAAATCTATATAATAGCAAACTGCAAACGAATTATGCACAATTGAACTGTCAGTGAAAAAACATAAAAAACCCTGTATATAAGAACATATGTAAGTGGTCGTATTGTAGTCATAGTTCCTATCTTGCCACACAACCTCTGCCTTTTACAACGGTCGAGGCCCCCCATCCCCGCACCATGCTTGGCGAAATTCCAACGCTGTTTCCTGGATGCCGCCATGCGAACAACCTTGGGTTATGTCGAAACCATCCTAGCGAAGAATATTGATCATCCCATGAAGGAACCCTCACGTTTCCGTTTCAACCCCGGGCTGAAGGTTGGACCAATCTTGGTGCCTGACGATGTCAAACGACGTTAAAAGAAGTGCCAAGGCAATCACAAACTTTGCCTCGGGGCGGGAAACACCTCCTGCAGGTATGGCTCAAACTTGGTGACTCCATGGTTTTCTTCCCCATGGGGAAAGCGTGGAACTCCTTGAGACTTCGACCAAAGACTCCATGCCAATGTAAACTTCGCCCGCCAGCAAGGCGGCCACCTTTGAGACCGTGAGACCAATGAGGTATGGCGCCTCAGGTGACTGGCAATGGTTAACTTACCAGGATCCAATAGATGGTTGATGGATGTTGATGGATGTTAATGGGGCAGCTTTTGTATTGGATTACCAGATTTGCTTTGATGATTCCATGATTAGTTGTTTCCACATCTCCTTGAAGTGTTAGTACAAAACACAAATCATTTGGGTTCATCTGGAAGATTAGGGAGACCTTGTTTTTTGCTGGTTGACATCCCCATTCAATCCACCATCATTGCATTGCCTTGCACACTGCTGGCCAGTTGACTCATTTGCTCTCATGATATTCATTGGCTTGGCTGCAGACCCCAAGGTCCAGTACCTTCTTAGCAAAATTCTGCATGGCATCGGAAAACCTAATCTACCAAGGATTGTGGTAGATAAGGTCAAAACTGGTCATTCCCTTCAGAAGGGGATTACTACCACTGTCATATCAGGAGTTTACTTTCGGAATGGAGACATGTCTCGACTTTCTTGGCTGGGCTAAAAAAAGAGTTAGTGGCCGTCGATAGGGGTGATTGATTTCTCATTAATACAAACATGTGCTGCCATGTGCTCCAAAACCTGTTGTAACACGTTTGTTGTCAAATCCATGGAACCGATTTCATCCACGATATCCACGTGTCTGATTTGAGACTGTTGAACTTGGCAAAAACTGCGGGCAGCCGAAAAGGGCCGAAAATCTGCACAATTTCAACCTATATTAGAATTACATACGTATCACACATGCATCCACTATTTACATCTACTTGTGTGAAATGAAACAGTAGCAGTAGCAGTAGCGTAGCAACATTCACCTTTCCTCGCAGCAGTCTACTGAATGAGGAGGTCGCTGATTAGGTGGCTGGACCCACATCTGCAGCGATGTCTCGAAACTGTTCGGAAATTGTAGATTCAAAAAAAAATCAAAACTGTACTAGTATCATTAAGTTGGTTCTGCTGCTTGGGATGTGTTCCTTCCCGACCTTGTGTGATACAGGGAATGAGGCAAACACATACTTAAGCAAAACCAATATTGCCCAACATCGTAGGATGATCACCAGTTCACCCAGTATAAACCATTCAGCTTTACCAATGATACTCCAATGACCACAGTACAAAACTGCTGCCATGAGCCGCCCATTGGGACCGGCCTATCCGGATCCTTTGTACAGTTTTTTGGCATTGTCAACATCGACCGTATCGTCGCGCCGTGGCGCATGTGGTGCACACCACGCAGTGGCACCGATTTCACTATTCCTCCACCACTCCGTTGGCCAGCTCCTGTTCTAGCCATGACTGTCACCTGATGATCTCCAGCCTTGGAACATTTGAATCCATGCTATGGGTGGGGTGACTGTATCTTAAGATATGAAACAGCATGAAACAACACACGAAACAATGTGAACTAATAAAAAAAACATAAAAAACAGAAAAACACCTTGGCGGCATTTCCATTGTATCATTGGGTCATCACAGCGCGCCACCGTCTTTCATCACCGTCTTTCATCACCGTCTTTCATCACCACCACCACCAGCAGCAGCAGCAGCAGCACCAGCATCAGCATCAGCATCAGCATCATCATCATCATCATCGTCATCACCCATCATCACCATCACCATCACCATCATCATCATCATCATCATCACCATCACCATCATCATCATCATCATCACCATCACCATCACCATCACCATCACCATCACCATCATCATCATCATCATAATCATATCGTCCGGTGGTAGATTATGCCCTGATCATTCATTTTGACCACCGTCAATCATCCAGCAACATGATGACCATTGTGCAATGTCCCTCAGTCTCCTCGGGCAGCTTTCGCTTTCGACCAGCCGGAGTTGACTGCACCATCGAGACCATCGAGGAGATGGATTGGGAAAGGGGTTTTGACCGAGTGCAACCGTGAGGATTCTTGGTTTGACCACCCTCCAATTGAGAAGTAGTACTTTATTTGAACTTTGGGCTTCTCTTACAATTTGAGACATCCTCCGCTTAGCTTAAACCTCTCAACTACTCAGATGCTACCAAGAGTAGATCTCCAACACGTCATTCTTTGGGTTTAGTCCTCCTCCTGTGCCATGACTGATTTCAAAGGTGACAATCGAAGTCACAGCAACACACCCCTCCCCCTCTCTCTCTCTCTCTCACTCTCTCTCTCTCTCTCTGTGCAGCTTCCCTTCTCATTTTTTTGGACCTATCTTGCAGCTTCCCTTCTAGTTTTTCGGACCTATCTCCATCTACTTTCAGCTAACCAATTCATACCTATGTACAAACACAAACATATATTAATGATTAATGTATGTATATAATATATTCATATATAAAATTTATATTTTATTTTCTATATATATATTTTTTAAATAAATATTATATATATATATATATTATATTATCTAAATTATCTATATTCTATATATATATATATTATATAAATTATATATATATTATATATTATATATATTACATATATATTAAATATTAAATACTAAATATATTATCTATATTATGTATATTATAAATATTATATATCTTATATATTAAATATATTTTATATATTATATATATAAATAATATTACATATATATATATATTATAAACATTTTATATATAAGATATATATTATCTATATCTCTATATATATATATACTGTATATTAGGATTATTATATATATTAGATATCTTATATATATATATATTATATTAGGTATATTAGATATATCAAATATATTATATACACACACATATATATATTATCTATCTGTCTATCTACCTACCTACCTATCTATCTATCTATCTATCTATCTATATATATATATATATGTATATATATTGTGATTTCAGACATGTGAGCATCCATGCACACCGTCAAGGTCCAACATTTCACCGGTCCTTCAGGGCTCAGTTCCAACTCAGGGGGTTGCAAGCATAACCAAAAAGCCTAGCGTGCGCCGGGGTGCGCCATAAGCGGTTGGTGGACCGGGGAGTCCGTGGATACAAAAGAGAGGAGCGGACCGCTACCAGTTTGTAACTGGTAGCAGAGCTACGGCTCTTCACTGCTTTGCTGGAAAAGCTGCTGCAGTGGAAAGGAGAGATCCAGGAGGTCAGCCAGCAGGGATCGACAAATCTTCCATGGAGCATCTGATACCGAAGTTTTCGCCGGGTGAGACGGATGTCAATGAGCACACCCGTCGACTGGTTTTTTTGGCCAACATCTGGCCGAAAGAACACGCCTGTCTTTTGTGTGAAGGCACAGCGTTCTCGAAGGTGGTGACACTTGATGCCGAAAAGCTCAAGAGCCGAAAAATGATCATTTGGATCCGAGAAAGCATCAAATTGTAAAGAGAAATCACCATATCTACGGTATTGTATCGAGAAAGCATCAAATTGTAGCGAGAAATCATCACGTTGTACCGAAAAATCATCAGATTGCAAGGGAAAAAGCATCATGTTGTACAGAGAAAGCATCAAACCGTACCGAGAAATCATATGAAATCATCATATTGTACCGAGAAATCATCATATTGTACCGGAACAAATCAGGTTGTACCGAGAAATCATCATATTGTACCGAGAAATCATCATATTGTACCGGAAAAAATCAAATTGTATACCGAGAAATCATCATATTGTACCGAAAAATCATCATATTGTACCGGCAAAAATCAAATTGTACCGAAATCATCGAATTGTAACGAGAAATCATCATATTTTACCGAGAAATCATCATATATGGTACCGAAAAATCATCATGTTGTACCGAAAAATCATCATGTTGTAGCGAGAAAGCATCAAATTGTAGCGAGAAATCATCATATTGTCCCAAAAATCATCAAAGTGTAAGAAATCATCAAATTGTAGAAAGAAAACAACAGCAAACCGTACCGAGAAATCATCAAATTTTACCGAGTAATCATCGTATTGTACCGAGAAATCTTCATATTGTAACGAAGAAAATCATCCACTTGTACCGAAAAAACATCATATTTTACCGAGAAATCATCATATTGTATCGAGAAATCATCATTTTTTCGTCGGGGAAATCATCATATTGTACCGAAAAATCATAATATTGTAGCGAGAAATCATCATATTTTACCGAGTAATCATCGTATGGTACCAAAAAGTCATGAACTTGTACCGAGAAATCATCATATGGTACGGAGATGTACGGAGTATAATCATCGTATTGCACCGAGAAATCTTCAGATTATATCGAAGAATCATCAAATTTCGGTACGAAAAATCATCAAATTGTACGGAGAAACCATAATGTTGTACCAAAAAAATCATCAACTTGTACCGAGAAATCATGACATTGTACCGAGAAATCATCATATTTTACCGAGAAATCATCATATTGTACCGAGAAATCATCATATTGTACCGAGAAATCATCATTTTGTACCGAAAAATCATCAAATTGTAGCGAGAAATCATCAAATTGTGCCGAGAAATCATCATATGGTACGGAGTAATCATCGTATTGCACCCAGAAATCCTTACATTATATCGAAGAATAATCAAATTTTCTGCTCGAAAAAAATCATATTGTACGCAGAAACCATAAGGTTGTACCAAAAAAATCATCAAATTGTACCGAGAATAAATCATCATATTGTACCGAGAAATCATCAAATTTTACCGAGTAATCATCGTATTGTACCGAGAAATCTTCATTTTGTACCGAAAAATAATCACATTGTACCGAGAAATCATCAAAGTGTGTCGAGAAATCATCAAATTGTAGGATAAAAAAACATCAAACCTCACCGAGAAATCATAATATTGTACCAAGAAATATTTTTTTCGTTTTTACTTTTTTTAATTATTATATATATATATATATTTTTTTTTAAAAATATTTTTTCTTTTTCCTTTGTGTTTTTGTTTTCGAGGCCAAGATGTTAACGACTTTTCGCGACTAAACCTATTTACGTGGCTAAAAAACATTTCAGGGCTAAAGTTTTTTTTATTTTGGGGCTAAAAATCGGTCCCGTTTTTTTCACTATCGAGCACGTGCGGTGTCACATGGCTGCTATCCGAAACTTTGCTTGGTGAAGATTTGCTCCAAAACCTTAGTTGGGAGGCCGGTGCTGCTGAGGAAACCTTAGAGGCCGCAGGAGTACTACCCTTGTTCACCCCAGATTTCACAGAGCTTTTGCCCGAAGGTGTGGTGTCAGCCCACCATTTCCCCGCACCCTTGAAATGAAGTCTGGACGCATCGTTTGTATTCATTTGTGTTTTAATTTTTTTCCCATCCCATAGGGAAAACATGTCCTTCCTGTTTTGTCACCAGCTGAAAGTGCTTGTCTTTCAGGTAGAGAACATCAGGAAATTCGCGTTTCTTGTTGGGTCCAAACACATAAGGGACAGCCGAACCGTCAGCTTTTT